CTTGATGTTTCTTGCATGAGGATCACCAGTGTTGGTTCTCCTTGAAACCTGAACTAGCACCAGTGTGGCGAAGACAGGCCAATCAAGGTGTAGCTCCGTTTGACTCTGAGTTCCAAACGTGTTTTGATGTCTCACTGATAGTGTGCTAGGAGGTGAGTAAATTGTGCTGTAAACAAAAGTAATTATCTCACTACTATTATCTAATTGACAGGAGTAATTATCTCACTGCTAAGGTTACAGGTCTTCGCACGTCGTGCTGGATGACAGATAAGCTATATTAATGGTAAATATATATATATATATATATATATATATATATATATATATATATATATATATATATATATATATATATATATATATATATATATATATATATATATATATATTAAACTTAAGGAAAAGGGGAAAATGAAAAAGGATTATTTTCCCACACGACGGAGCTCCAGTATGATACGAGGCAACACCATCTGAAGAAATCAAGGTCCTCCAGGTGTTTCCATTATAAAGTTATCAGACAAAACCATTTTGGTCGGGATTATCCCTGCAACTTTGTAATTGAGAAGCAAATTAATTCTGTATTCCTAACTGGGACTCCAGAATCTCTTCTAGAACCTTTTAGTTCCACTTTTTTAGAGTTCTCGAAATGTTTAATGACTTCACTGCACCTGTAGAGAATCCAAGAAAAGATTTATGTAGTAGTAAGGAAATGTTTTTAGGCGAGATAATTTAACTTCAGTTAGAGCGTAAAAGAGAAATTAAATTGTTGAACAGATTAGCTGGTCAAAAATGATTTAAAATATTTAAGTCAAATTAAACAAAAATAATATCTAGATTATCCCTAAAATTTTTACAATTTCACATAATTCTTTCTAGGGATTATATATAAATTTGAATTGCCAATTTGAGGTCAGGACATATTTTGATGCTGACATCATAGATTGCAGAAGAAATGTGTGCCGTGTTCTCCGATAGAGCACAATGATTAGTACTGGCAGCAACTTTAATGCTTTTGATATATAATACCTACTGGATTTAGGTGGCCTTATATGTTAAAAAAAATATATTTATATATTTCACACCAACATGCTTAGTGTGGAAGTGAGTGAAGAAGCTCTCTGGAGAGGACACATATTTCTTCATCAGAGCCAAAGCTTAATTAGAATATGCAGGCAGAATGTTGCTCTGTTGTCTTCATCATGGCTGAGCAATGCTCAGGAGTCACAGGCGCTGAGGCAGCCAGTCCATCAGCAGACAACTAGTCTGAAAATATTAAAAAAAATTTGTACTTTCATGTTAGGAGAATCCTCCGGAAATTAATAAAAAAAAACATTTGAAGCCTGAGGTTTACTTGTTTCAGACAAATATAAAAAAAAAATTAAATGTAATTTTAGTTTTCTTGTTTGTGAGGTTTACAATGAGCATATACATTGTTTAAGATAAAAGCAGTGAACAAAGAAACAGCATTATTTTTATTTGTCTTTGACCATATATTGCAATAATGTATGGGAAACCATATACACTAATTTGTCAGTTTTATTTTCTAAAATGCTAAAAATACAAAAATTCACCTATATTTGATGTGAATTGGTTCAGCAAGGCGGAGGGCGTGTGGTGTGAGACGCGTACCAGTTGCCAACATTGGGGTTGCTAATAGGAAGTCCCCTGCATGTGGGGCTGCAACTGCTGCGAGGCGAGCAATGTCGTGTTGTGTTGTTGCAGCACCTAGGTAATCTGCAGTATTGGTCCGTCCTGGAGAATGGTCCAGGACGGACCGAAATGTCGTCGTCCCTTCAATTTCTAGTGTGTGGTCTGGTCAACATACTTCAGCACGTTATTGTGACTCATCGCCTGCACACCAATGAGGTCTTTGATAAACAAATCGCTGACCTTAAGAAGATGGATTGAAGATACTGATACAATGCACTTTACCTCATCACTAGAAGTATGTCCCTCCCCAGGTTAACCTACTTTTCGAAGTGTTCATCATCCTACAGTAGCCAAAAACTAAGCGAACATAACTTCTTAATGAAAGTGATGTTAGAAAAAGCCCTCAACTTCTCTCTTGATGACTTACAGTGGAAACAAGCCTCTCTTCCCGTAACACTTGGGGGCCTCGGAGTTCGAACAGCAATGCAAATAGTTTTACAGTCTTCCTGTCCTCCTCCTCGGCATCCGACGACCTTGTGAAGGAAATTCTACTTCAGTACTTAGGTCAGAGGGTCTCCTTCCTCTCCCACTTCCCACTGACGTTTTCCTCGATCTCATTAGACTCTGTGTTGAATCTAACTCTTTCTCTTTCAACGGTAAATATTACACTCAAACTTTCGGTGTCGCTATGGGTTCCCCTCTCTCCCCTGTTCTTGCTAATTTCTACATGGAATACTTCGAAACTGTTCTTCTTCCTTCTATTGATACTCGTCCCTCTCTCTGGCTTCGCTATGTTGATGACATTTTTGCTTTATGGCCTCATGACCTTAATCTTTTCCAGCCTTTCCTCGCCTCTCTTAACAACCTGGCTCCTTCTATCCATTTCAAAGTTGAGTGGAAATCTAATTCCCTCCTTCCTTTTCTTGATGTTCATGTTCACAGCTCTGTGTCTGGGTTCTCTTTCTCTGTCTACCGTAAACCCATGCATAGTGGCATGTACATTCACTTCTTTTCCTACCATCCTCTTTCTGTTAAGAAAAGTGTCCTCGCCCCTCTCTTCCTCCGCGCTCTACGCATCAGCGACCCTCAGTTTCTTGATTCTGAAATTGCCTTTATCTACAAATCATTCTCTCGCCTTGGTTATCCTTTGCATTTCATCAACTGTGCCCACTCTCAAGCTAAACGAAATTTCTTTCATCCTAAACCTGCTTCCAACACTAGTAGCACTGTACTATGCCTTCCCTTCATATCTGAACTCAAAACTTTTACCAATACCTTTCGTCCTCTTGACATTAAACTCGCCTTTCGACAACTAACACACTTCGTAGCAATCTAGTTCACACTGCTCCTCCTGCTTCTAATGCTGCTGGTGTCTACTCTATTTCCTGTTCATCTTGTCCTCTCCAATACTTTGGCGAAACTGGCCGTACACTGAATGACAGACTTAAAGAACACAAGAGAAGTGTTATGTCTGCAGACACTAACAATGCTCTCTTCTGCCATGTGAGGGATTCTAATCATCCCATTGATTGGTCTTCCTCCAAAATAATCTTTCCTGCCTCAACTCTACACAGACGCCGTCTTGTAGAATCGGCTCTTATTAACAATGTACCCAACATGAACTTGAGTCCTGGCTTTGTTGCTGTGGACTCTTCCCTTTCACAGTATATACTCAAATGCTCTAATCTTTCTAACAAACGTGACTTAACATAAGCTTTCCCCCTTCCATTTCTTTCTTTCTCTTTCCCTTTCTTTCTCTCTTCTCCCTTTTTCTGTTCATTGTCTTCTCCTACGCTCCCTTGCTATCCTCTTCTTTTTCCTATTACTATCTCCTTCGGTGGTTATAATAGGAGCTGCCTCGTATGGCCCAATAGGCCTGCTGCAGTTCTCATTACTACTATCCCCTACACCTGACTTTCCTCCTCAGCTCTCTCTTGCCTATTTAATGCCTGTCCCTACCTCCATCACAATCGACTTGAGAATGGTCCAGGACGGACCGAAACGTCGTCGTCCCTTCAATTTCTAGTGTGTGGTCTGGTCAACACCTCATCGGTGGCCTTCAAACCCAGGGGGCGGAGGCTGCTTGTTTGCAATTCCATCTGCAATTGTAAACATGACTTAGATACCCTATTTACTCTTGTTGGAATCCGACACACACATACACACACACACACATAAAATAGTATTTCCTTTTTTCGTTTTCCCTTCAGGAAAGAAAATGGGAGATCCCGTGACGTCATAGACAATACGTATATTCCAATGTTCTAATACTGTTAATAGAATAGTTTTGTATCTAGATTTAACAAAAAAGTAATCAACAGACTGAATATAATTATTAACACCAAAATGTAGCTTGATTCCCTTGTTAATGTAAATTACTTGAGAAGTGAACCAAGCTGAGGGCGTTGGTCCCAGACAGAGACCGATGCTCCCACTCCTGAACAATAACAAACCACAGCCTTACGCTGTACAAGGCTTTAGAGCTGGTGAAACCAACTAGACACCCAAATTACGTGTCAACAACCAGCAACACAGCCTATCAACATCACAGTAACGACCGTATCCGGCTTATCAAGTATTTTTTGTATTTGAAATTCTAGTGTACACATTTTTTCATCTATAAGAATAAGTCGGTTATATGTATGAGACACCAAAGACATTATTACTAGTAGATTAGACCACCATATGTGGTATGATTTAATAATAAGTGAACCACCACATGTGGTATGATATAATAATAAAGGGTAAACAATTGGTAGTTTAAGAAGGAGCCATCTCAAAGTGGTTTAGGCTACCAATTGTCCCCCCCCCCCATAGTGTGTGAGATAATTTCAGGCAGTTTACAAGTACATACAGTTCACTCAATTAATTCTTACTTACTAAGAAAATAAATAAGACAGAACTTTATCTTATTAAAGTCAATTTAAAAGGGAGAATAGTTGCTTGGAGTTTCCCCACAACTCATTTGCACTTTCATCTACTCGATCCCTTATCCCGTGTATACATGTTTCGAGTGATTTATCTGTGTAGAAGGCAGTTCAATCGGGAATTTGTTAGGTTCAATGGAATTTGGTTAAAGGTGGAGAGGGTTAAAATATTTACTGATGAAAGGGATTTGAGGATCAAAACAGGAAGAGGGCATGGTAGGGAACATGGAAAAGGTGGAAGAGGGAAATGTGTGTTGGCACGATAGATATTAGGTGGGAGTCAGGGGTAAGGAGAGGGTGGGTAGATTTACCCACTGAGGTGGTTGAACCCCCCCCCCCCCTGTCCAGGGAAATCAAGTTGAAGGTCGTGGGTTCCGCTCTCGTCTCCCCTTCCACGCACCTCCCTAATGTGTCTACTGAATGTCACACGGCGAGTAGAGGGTCAGCTGCACGACCTGCTGGGAGAGGTGGGTCAGCTGCACGACCTGCTGGGAGAGGTGGGTCAGCTGCACGACCTGCTGGGAGAGGTGGGTCAGCTGCACGACCTGCTGGGAGAGGTGGGTCAGCTGCACGACCTGTTGGGTGTTGTGGGTTAGCTGCACGACCTGCTGGGAGAGATGGGTCAGCTGCACGACCTGCTGGGAGAGGTGGGTCAGCTGCGCGACCTGATGGGTGTGGTGGGTCAGCTGCACGACCTGCCGGGAGAGGTGGGTCAGCTGCACGACCTGCTGGGAGAGGTGGGTCAGCTGAACGACCAGCTGGGTGTTGTGGGTCAGCTGCACGACCTGCTGGGAGAGGTGGGTCAGCTGCACGACCTGTTGGGTGTTGTGGGTTAGCTGCACGACCTGCTGGGAGAGATGGGTCAGCTGCACGACCTGCTGGGTGTTGTGGGTCAGCTGCACGACCTGCTGGGAGAGATGGGTCAGCTGCACGACCTGCTGGGTGTTGTGGGTCAGCTGCACGACCTGCTGGGAGAGATGGGTCAGCTGCACGACCTGCTGGGTGTTGTGGGTCAGCTGCATGACCTGCTGGGAGAGGTGGGTCAGCTGCACGACCTGCTGGGTGTTGTGGGTCAGCTGCACGACCTGCTGGGAGAGATGGGTCAGCTGCACGACCTGATGGGTATGGTGGGTCAGCTGCACGACCTGCCGGGAGAGGTGGGTCAGCTGCACGACCTGCTGGGAGAGGTGGGTCAGCTGCGCGACCTGCCGGGAGAGGTGGGTCAGCTGCACGACCGGCTGGGAGAGGTGGGTCAGCTGCACGACCTGCTGGGTGTGGTGGCTCAGCTGCACGACCAGCTGGGTGAGGTGGGTCAGCTGCACGACCAGCTGGGTGAGGTGGGTCAGCTGCACGACCAGCTGGGTGAGGTGGGTCAGCTGCACGACCTGCTGGGTGTTGTGGGTCATCTGCACGACCTGCTGGGAGAGGTGGGTCAGCTGCACGACCAGCTGGGAGAGCTGGGTCAGCTGCATGACCTGCTGGGTGTTGTGGGTCATCTGCACGACCTGCTGGGACAGCTGGGTCAGCTGCATGACTAGCTGGGAGAGTTGGGTCAGCTGCACGACCTGCTGGGTGTTGTGGGTCATCTGCACGACCTGCTGGGACAGCTGGGTCAGCTGCATGACTAGCTGGGAGAGTTGGGTCAGCTGCACGACCTGCTGGGTGTGTGTGGC